GGGGCACAACTGGCAGTGAGCTTTAGGACCCCTACTTCCTCCCTATCTCTCTGTCTGTGCTTTTGTGTTTTTCTAATTTTCTTTAGCTCTGGACTCTTCATAGAAGTACCTCGGCTTACATTTAGCAACAAGTTTCCTTTATAATGGGTAAAAACATGTTAATTCTAAGAGTCATGTCAATAAAGGAAAAGTGATCAGTAAGAAAAACTAGTTCTAGTTGGGCACTGGTGACTCACGCCTGGAATCCTAGCTACTGAGCAGGCTGAGATCTGAGGATCACGCTTCAAAGCCAGCTCGGACAGAGAAGTCCCTTAGATGCATAGCTCTAATAAACAACCACAAAACTGGACGAGGCACTGTGACTCAAGTGGTAGAGTACTCAGTGCCTTGAGCTGAAGAGGTGAGAGACAGTAGCCAGGTCCAAGAATTCAAGTCCTACAATGGACAAAAAAACAAAGAAAACAGAAATACTAGCTCCCAGATACAGCATTTGAAGCAAGGAAAAAAGCAAGAGACAGATGGAGGGAGGAGGGTCTGAGAGAAACAATGAGAAAGAGAGAGAGAAAAACAGATGAAATGAAAGAGAAGAGAGAAAGAAAGCTAGAGAGCAAGAAACAGGGAATGAATAGACAAAATACAGAAAAAAATCTAGTCAGGAGTTCTTTGAGAAACATGGAGGGATTTCTAGAAAGGATATACACTATATAATGAAATATAGCCTAAGTTTCAAGTAGAAAAAGCCTATGAAGCAGTCGAAGAACTAGTAATTTAAGTACATATATCTTACTCAGTACGCTTCAATAGTTGAAGGTATAAGTGACCACAGTTTTTAGCAAGTATAGTAAAAATTTCATTAGGACAGTTTAATGTTATTCATGGGGATGTGATCTCTGACCAGTTGCTTCCATGAGAAGTCACCTCCTCGGTGTCAGTGAATCCCTTAACAAGTTTGACTACTTACTTCTACCAACATCAGAAAAACTAGAAACAAACTGAAGTAATCTATACTCATTTTAGCCAGAATGTCAGATTAATAATGTGCAAAAACTATAAGGCATCTTTATCTGATTTAGGAGCATGTTCCTGAAGTTGAATCTGTTTTTCTGTTTTTCAATCTTGTCCACTATTAGGTTCAAAAAATGGAATGTAAAACAGAGAAATCAAAAGCAACTCACCAGAGATCCTTTCATTCTTTCTTGCTGTTGACAATGGACAGAAGATTCTGGAAGCATGGCTGGGAGACAAGGCAAATGAGGTAGTCAGGAAAGAACCTGTGTGATTTTGCCCCATATTTTCCTGCTTAAAACATTACCCATGGGGTGGAAAAGCATAAAGCCTTCTTATGGGAGAACAAGTATGGTTTATGTCTGAAGTAGTGCATTAATCAAACATTCCACTAAAGATGAAGCCATGGTTGATTAATTGGTAGATAGATAGTATAAAAGCAATTCATTTATAGGTTAATATACATTCGAAATTCCTAAAAACTAATATCCCACAAAAATAATTGAAAAATAAAAACATACCACATTTCATTAAAACTAGTTTTTACTGAAATACACTTAGGGATGCAAGAACTATTTTTTCTTTTAATGCAAAAGGACCTAGCAGTCCACTGGGCATTTGTACTCCACCTCATTCATTTCCAGATTCACACACCAGGGAAATCATGTATAGTATAGCTCAGCATTTTTCACAAAGGTTATACAGGAAACACATATGCAATGCATGTTTCTAGTGCTATAATGTTTCAATAATGGTTGTGAAATGGCACATTTCCCTGTAGCCAAATACTCAGAGCACCCTTATGCAAGGACTTGCAATTTGCCATTTAAGCTACTTTGGCCAAATGGACATCACTAAAGATCTTATGTCAGTAATGCTCACTTTCATGAACAGTCATATGAAGAACCTTGGCCATAATGCTGAAGGTACAGAGCCTAATAAGATGAACATAAAATACTGGGTCATAGGAGAGACACAATTCCAATCAACCATCCTCAGGGAAGGAATTAGAAGATTAAAGTCTTATCTGTGATTTAAACAATATTAACACAAAATAGCAAGTTGAGGGCACCCCAAAATGTAGATCCATAAAACTTAAATAGGTATGGGAATTGTTTGGTACTTGTTGGTTAGTTTCTTACACAGGAAATGCTGTTATCCACTGATCATTTGTTTCTTTGCACAATTATGTAAAATTGCGTTTAAATTATATTATTAGATTATACATTAACTTAATTTTCTGTACTATTAAATGATCTATCAAGTGTTTGGGAATGCATGTTTAGGCAGTCTCTCTCATTTTAAGTAATGTAAAATAGCCTCATTAGTATATGGAGAAATTGCTGTTTCTTAGAAATGAATATAATGGAGAGCATCCCTAACATTTTAAAGTTGCAGAAGCCATAGGACGTGAAGAGGATGAAATTAGGATCAATCTGTATCTATATGATATTTTAAAGGACTGTTTATGATTCACTGACTTCAAATGCCAAAAAGAATTTTCTATGTAAAATAATACTTCTTTGAGCAGATTGTGACAAAACGGGTAACACTAGCTAAAACTTCAGGACAGGTTACATCTATGCATCATATATCCTTGAGCAATATACATTACCTCCAACTTTTTTCTATAT